AAATTGCTAAAAGAAATAACACACTTCACGTAGTTGTATTATCTCATTATTTGACCATAAATTTCCTTAATGAATTCCCAACGAATGTTGAATTTTCAAAAGTTAGTATTATCAACTTATTTGAAATTTTCCAACAGTTTCTAACATGTTTCACTCATCAAACAAATTCTGATAAGATTTTGGGTGAAGCAGATAATAGATAAATTGATAGAAAAAATTTTTCAACATTAATTAGCAGAGTGTATGATAAATCTTTCTTCATGGAATGTTGTCTTATCACTAAAATCAATCATAAAAATAATTCATCACCAATAAAAAAAAGTAGTTTAACTGAATTAATTAAATGTTGGTCGGATGATAATAAAAATAAGTGATTATGATAATGAAAAAGTAGTTTCTTTAGTGATCTTCTACATGTGCATCTATAAATCTGAGTAGTGTCGTTCTCACATCCTGTTTCAATGTTTTTCACTAAATAATTTCAGCTTCATTCTTCATTTAGTTTGGCACAAACTGCCGCAAACAACCCACCGAATGGCGAGCGTTGCCTCGCTAGAAGTCGAGGTCCCTGCCAGAGCCGCATTTATATTAAAATACTAAGAAAAACTTTGGGCTTCCCATTACCGCCCTTCTTGGCTTTTCTACGACGACTGAGAATCGTTAATTTTCTACCTCCATTCATTTCTCGTAAATTTTTCGCTAGTTTACATTGTTGCTACGAAAAATAATTCGTACAAGGCGGAAATGTTCACCATTATTTTCGTTCACACACAATATTATTGAGATTTTTTTCAAGAGAGTACCGCTATCCGCTGAAAAATATTAAGCGTTTTCTTTCATCGTTTCTAGATACCCACCAGTATTTTTAATTTATGGCAAAGTCATACTTCTTCATAATTTACATCAATTGGTAATCTATTGATTAATTGTTGTTTATTCAATTTATGTTTTATTCCCCAAATATTCCTTTATCTGACAATGCATTTCATCTATCTTTCCTTTTTCTATGCTAAATAAATAAGTAATCAAGTAAGTATGATATCGTAAACTATGATGGAAGAAAAAATCGGAAAATTATTTTTAAAAAATTATTAAAACGTTTATTAAAAATAACAGAGAAAAAAATCTGTGGTAGAAAGCATTGATTGTAATGAAAAATCACTGTGATGATGAAAATCACTTTTTAATTAGCTTACTGTTTACAAATCAATTGTACATTGCTATAAACAAATCCATCGACTGTCAGCATGAACATCATCCACATAATTACATATTTTATAACATTTCTAATTAATTATTTATAATTAAAGTACAGTTAAGTATAAATTATATTTGTAGAATCCTTAACAATTTAATATTTTTCTATAAAGAATAATAATTTTATTAATAAAAAAAAATTAAAATTGATTGGATTGAATTATTTATTTTTATTGAATATTATTAATAAAATGTTTAATTAATTATAACGATTAAAGTTAATAGAAAAAAATTGGAACACTTTTTTTTCTTTATGTGCAATAATAAATCATTATTAAATAATTATACGTCTGGAAAGTTTAAAAATATTAATTATCTCTAGATAACATCTGACGCAATATTAACAATTTATTTATTTTTTATTTATTAAGATTTTAATGATGATGAAATACATCATTTAAATTAGAGTAAAATACAAGTTTTACTGTTCTGTTCTCACTGAGATAAAGTGAGTAAAAATATCTTAAAGATTTCATTAAAAATCATTCATAGAAACTTTGTGTAATATACCAGCTTCTGTTGTAATTCTCAAAATCTGCAAAATCATGATTTCAAAGATTAAATTTGCTAACTTGCATTAGAAAAGAAGAATTTCTAAGATGAGTTGCATAAATTTTGAGTTCAGTACAAATTGAAGTTTCGTAAAAGCACACATATGATGGCTTGAAGGTTTTTTTTTTAATGAAAAATTTTGTATGATGAATCATATGTTATATAGAATAAAAAATTAATCGTATCTTTTCTTAAAGATGATATTCATTCTGTCTTTTCGGTGGCCGAACATGGATTTCGGTACTTTTATCTCAAAAGGCTGAATTCAAAGCATCTTCACACAATCATAATGGCCAAAATATATAGGTATACAGGTGAGTATGTATCCGAAGACAGTCTTATACTTTCACATTCGCAAATAATTGTACAACCATATAATATATACCTGGTTACCTACCGCCGCGATAAACGTTATTATAAAAACCGGAAGATGACAAAAGAAACGCGTCTCTTTTAAGCACAATAAATGATAAATGGTCTTTAAGCCATGAAGTAGTTCCATTTATAGTTGCTGGAACACTACATTTCTGAATTGTAAAGATAGATAACGTAAATATATATTTTTATACTCTGTGTACATTTTTAGCTCGTATCAACAATTGATTTTTTTTTATACCTTCGAAGAGTTTTTACTTTTTAGCTTTAAAAATTTTTTTTAAATGTCTGCACTACATATAAACAATTACCAATATCATACCATAAAAACATTTTATTATAAATAATCGTAATTATTTATTTTATAATTTCGAGCAAACGTAAATTATAAATAGTTATTTTATAATTTTATTAATGTAATTAAATAACTAATTGTAATTATTTGATAGAATATTTTGTTGATACGAATCATTTTGTTTGTCATCAAAGACAATCTCTGAAATATTATATTAAATAATAAATGTTTACTAATTTATTTCTAGACAGTAGTTCAGAGTAACGTACATTTCATTAGTGCTCAAGATAAATTCAACTCTGTAAATCATTTTTTAAAAATTATTTTTTAATTTTTAACTCATCAAAATATAAATAATCAATCATCTGCAGGTTTGTTGCTGTTTTTTTTTTCAATCCTTTTCTTTCATTTTGAAGGAATTAATTATTAATATAAAAAACTAGCTCTGTAGAAATAAACAAAAGGAGACTGAAATTGGCAAAAAGTGTGTCAAGCCTTGTCAAGATAAACATACTACCCTGATAGAAAAAATAAAAAGTCAATATTCGTTGAGTACTACGTGAGATTGACTAAGAGTGACCCAGTATCGAGCTAACCTTGATCCATTTGTTCTACGATATACATCTAAGACTCAGGTCATTTTGAAGAACTCAAACCCTTAAGAAAGCTTTACAGCAGACTGTGAGCAAACTCGGTTCTTGAGAGCCAGGACTACTTCCATGGTTTCTGTAAGAGTAAAAGAAAGAAACTCTAAGTCTTCGTCCAAAACCTACATAAATACCTACCTCTCAGTTTTCAAGGAGTCAGAGTTTGACTACCTCTGCTCTGCAGCCTTGTAAATAATTAAAACTTAATTTTTTTATTTCACTCTGTAAATTCAAAGCTACTTCATGGAAAAGTTTTGTTGTTTAATGTTTTTTTCATCAATTACAGCAATCCGAAAATATTGTTTTCATTTTTTAGCTTATAATTACTGCACTAAAGTAATTACTAAGACGTTTTATACACCTCTGTTTATCGAGAACCTTCAATAAATTACTGTATCTCTGATAATTACTCCAACTGATTTTTATAATTCCTTTACTATAATAATTCATTGCCAATTTAATGAATTACTCGTCAAATGTATCCAATTAAAATAATAAATGACTTTAATTAGAGATCACTCGTCACTCACAAATTAAAAAATGGCATTATTTATAGGTACCTTAACTGTTAAAGGAATTATTTATAAAACCTCTAGTCAATTTATTGTTATTGGATTTTGAAAAATAGAATACTCGGAAGAAGGTATAAAAAAAATTTATAAGTATAAGATCGAGTGTGCGACCGTCTGTAAAAAATATACGAAAAAACGAGCATAAGATAAAAAGAGTAATGAAAAATATGAAGGCGGAAATGAGGTCGAGAAGCCAAGGATGGGAAATGGGCTGGCAATCGGCGGTTGCTTATTAGCGTTTGACAGTCAATCAGTCAAGCGCATAGAAGATCCTCGACTTCAAGTTAGATAGAAGCGCACCTCTCCATTATAAGAATCTAGTCTCTAAAACCTCAGGCACTTCTTACTAGATGTCTGTTTATAATACAGATGGGGGAAAGCGGGGTCAATTATTGTGGGTACTCGAGTAAGATGTGATGTCTATGCGGTAAATAAAAATTAATTTGTTTAAATTCTTACTGCAGATGCATTCGTATTAATTATGTTGGAAGGAAAAATAACTTAATTCATTAATTTATTGAGAGGTTTACAAACTTATGAACATCAATGATTCTTAACATTTAAATAAAAAAGTACTCTCTTAAACTGAATCAATGAAACCTACTGCGAATCAGTGAATAGTTACTGATTTTCAGTGCCAATCCAATTACCGAGTCACTCTGTTAATATTCACTGATTTGCTTGAGAGAGTATTTTAATTATAAAGGCAAATGCTACAGAGTTTTTTTTTTAATATATATACTTCAATAACGTGCAGGTGATATTTATTATAACATTTTCACTAACTTTTCACAGATACATTTTAAAATAATGAATCATTTTTTATCCAAATATTTTTGAAAATTAGAATTGCCAAGTTTTGGAGTTTATTTTACGTTTTACATATCTGTTCGAACTCGATTAATTGTAAAAGTAGTGAAACGCATCAATATTTTCAATTGAAGATCATCGTCTTCAGTTGTTTTGAGATAAAAATTTATTATCACATAATTAATTTAATCTGTTTAATCTTCCATTTTGATACAACTAATAAAATACTTACTGGCTGTACTGTAAATACGAACATCATTTTGTCAAATATATTTTTCAGCCGAAATGACTTTGTACTCATAATAAAATTTTCAAATCTGTTACTATCCATGCGTCACAAGGAAAGACAATAAAGAGTTGTTTTCTCAAATGTACACTTTAATAATATGCATATAATATATATTTATTAAAACATTAATAAACTTTTACCAAGAAGAGTTATTTACTGGTTTTTAATACAAATGTTTTTAAAATATCATAAAATTAAAATTGCCTCGTTCTGAAGTTCATTGGACCCTTCTACATATCATTTTGGATTCGATCAACCGCACAATCAAGGAAACGACCCACCCTTGGTACATCAGTTTCTTGTAATTCAGCTGTTTTGAAAAAAAAAATTATTGTCGCATAACTAAGTAAACAATGCTAGTTTAATGAAAATAATAATAAACGCAAACCTTCTCTTTTACATAAATTACAAATCATCGTTAATGCAGCTGATTCATGAAGGGTAAATTTTCTCTCAAGAATCTCCTGTATATCTCTTATTATTTTTTCAGCATTTATCTCCGAATTTACCATCTACAAAATTGAAACATATTTTTATTTGTTGTATCTTTCGAACTCAGCAGAATATCATGACTTTTATTTATTAATTATTTTTCATTACTCATGCGGGATAACTACTACTATACCGCACGCATTTCCGGGCGCAAACTTTCCGATTGTCCACTGTAGGCCTGGGAGCAATAAAACCCCGGGTTTTATGAAATAACCGCACAGAGACTTAAGAATAACGCACGAATACTTAAAATGAAAGTAAACTTTAAGGATTATTTTGTCTAAATCAATCCTTTTATTTTTCTTTTTATGATATGTCACGTGTTCAACATCTGTCTAATAGTTTTCAAGTAAGCAAGAATATTTTTTAAGCTAGATGCGTATAAATAAAGAGCCAAACAGTCGTTACGATAGTTTAAGATTATTTAAATGATTTTCTTTCGTCCAATTTGTTCATAGACGATCATAAACATTTTCCCTTACCACTCATCTTGAAGCGTGCGTTATTTAATTTTATCACTTTTCATATTTTTAATTTATGTAAAAATGACACTTGGATGTGCTGGGTATGTATGTCAGGTTCTTTTTGTTTTCGATATCTCGAGAACCACTGAAGATGTCGACACTTGAAAAATTTCATCTGAACTGTAATATTGTAAAATATATGTGTGTCCATCTATAGATAGATTGACTAACGACAGTTTGTTAGTTGATGACGATTGGATTGTTTATAACAACGAGGGGAGAGTTTGTTTATCTCCAGTTTAGGACTGAGATTAGCTAACTTTTGACGTCTTGTCTTTGATTCTGTATTTAAATCTGTCATTTGTAATAAACTTACTTTTAATATTAGTTGTTCTCATTCTAGTATTTTACAATATAAATATGAAAAATATCCGAAAGGCGTTAAAACAAATTCGATTAAGCTGTTTTTCTTAAATAAATAATTTCTTCATAACTATAGGAATTTTTTTTAAACAGAAAAAGTGAAGAAAACCAAAATTACGAATTCCAATAAATAGAAAATTCATCATCAGAGCACAAAGTGCTCCCTGAGCCACTTTCAGGATAATACTTACCCATTCCCAAGCTTTGAAAACACAGACAATATAATATCGGGTTTCGTCATTTCTGATATATATTCCATCTAGTAACATCTCGTAGTTCTCTAGATAAATAAAGATAGTTTGTTAATTCTAGTATTAACAAGTAGAGTTTAGATAATTGAATAGAAATTTACCTTCAGATATTAGATGTTTACATTCTTCATAGTGGGTAACGAAAAATTTCATACGACCGTTCTCCTTTTCTTCATTAGATATTTCCTTTAATTTTTAGCAAAAATTATCAATACATGATATCGAAGATTTCAAATCATCAATCTTCCATTCTAATACAACTGATTAAATTATTTTGACTTACTCTTGAAAGTGTTGGTGCCAAGTACAGGAGTACTGCTAAAAAAACGGAAAATGTCATTTTGACGAATATAGTTTCCAGCAGAAATGACTGTGTGCTCTATCAAATATCACTGTCGTACTTATATTCGTCTAATTCAATTGATTGTGCTCATGATTAGATTTTTAAATTTGTTACTATCATTTTTTTAAAATCATAACCGGAATATAGATAAAAATGTATTGTTTCCGATTAGTTTTTCTTAGAATTACAACAGAAAAAATTTGAAATTATAGTTTTATTGTTCTTAAAAAAAAATAAATGATAAAGTATATAATTTCCTGCTGGCGAGTTAACAATAGACTAATTATGAATTGTTGTTGATGTGTATATGCGAGTTAAATATAGCTCAAAAATTATGTTGTGTAGAAGTCGTAATTTCTCCAGCTGTTGGTGCTTCCGAATCTTATCTCCTCAATATAAAGTAATTTTAGGACCCAGAAGGATAAATATTGTTATTGAACGAGATTTTCGACGTCAAGTTCAACAGAAGCGCACCTCTTCGTTGTAAGAATCTACATTGCAAATCCAGGATGGTTCAGGCATGTGTAAAATTTTTTCATTCAAATAGAATAACAATCTAAGAATAAAACTGTTGATATTTTGTTTAGTTTTTGAGAAATTGATATTTTTTTAATGGAAAAGTCCATTAAAAGCGATGGAAACTTTAAAAGTATTTATCAATAGAATGCTATAAAGAAACTGTAGTATTAAGCCTGTCTGCATGTGGAAAATTTTCTCTCCTTAATGAAATGTAAATTTTAAGAAACATTTATAAATATATTACTTTTTCTGAAGGAGGTAAAAATATAGTGAACAGCTGATGCAGAAAGCTAAATTATATTGGAATAAAACAAAGCATCAAAATAAGAAGTTTGCGTACACTTAACTGAAGAAATATGCATGAAATAAAAAATAACGAACATATATCTATTTTTATGGTTGACGCGATTAAGCTTCGTTTGCAGTAAATTTTACACGAAAAAAACCTTAAAAATGTACGAAAATATTTCTCTACGATCTATAGTGTAGAAATCACAAAAACATTTTTCCCTCTATTTGTAAATGTAGCTTCGACTAGAAACAGTTTGCACAGATCCAACCATTTTCCCAGGTTTTTTCTACAGAACATTAATGATCAGTCGACGTTCTTGAACATTTCCAAGATATGTAGTACTATATATAATTCAAGAATCATGTAATAGCATACTACGATTTTTTATTAAATTACTTCTGCTTTTTTTTTAAGTAAAATTATCTTTTTTTTTCATGATTTCTTTACACCACCAGTTTTTAAGACCTTCATAGACAATTTAATAAATATTTTTATTTATCAAGGTTAGTTATGAGAAGCAGAACAAGTTGTGATTTATTTAAAGAAAATAAATTAAGAAAAAATAGGTTTCACTTGTACTTGTGAGCAAATTAGCTGATATTTTAAAAGTGTGTGATAATGATTAATGATAATTTCTCTGTGGACACTTTAACATGCTTCAGCATTTAACATAATGTGAATTACTATTATATCAATTCCAACATCAGCATAATTATGTTTGTGTAATATTTACCCTCCTGCTGTTTATAATAAATTGTTTGAAGAAGGAATAGTCTTTATTAAAATTTTCAAAATAATTTTTTCCAAATACTCATTTACTAACCATAAAATGTAAAAAACTACAATTAAAAATATTTTCTATCATAAACAAACATCAATTTTCTTTGTATTTTAACAAAATATACGAAGTTTTTTAATCCTTTTTTTTAGACTATTAATTTTTTTTATAAATATTAATTAAATTATGATTAGTTAAATTTTTTTTATTAAAGCAAAAAGAATATATTCAATAAAATATTAAAAAAAGATGTTAAAGATTGCTTGGAATTTTTTATCTTCTTCTTCCTATCGATCACAGGAAAGTTGGTGTTGAAAAATATTCAGTTTCAAATATATTCAGAAACAGGTGAAGTAAAGAAGGAAAAAACAAAGGTCTCTGGAGCATGCACCGGCTGCATCTGCATGTATGTAGATCATTACATTAACTGTACATTTCCTTTTAGTGGTAATGCAAAATAACCAAGTTTTATGTTTGACATTTGACAAATAAGAAACAGGATTCAAGCATGTTATTATCCATCCTTCGCGGAGCGTCGGAAACTGGTACCTGTATGGTTGCCGGGCATCCTCAAAAACTTCTTTGGTCGATCTAATAACGTCGAGAACGCGCCGCCTCATTAGTCAAGTCTGGCAGGGTTTTCTGGTGAGTCCAACTTATTACATGCTGTCGCTACAACAAACGGTCGACTTCTTTCAGTCTTTTTTTGATGAAACCTATTATGGATGATGCTTTTCGCCACGCGCCCAACCGTCCAGGATGTCTGACAATTTATTTTTAATAGTTGCAACCATTCCTTAAGATTGAGTTGATAGTTTATGATAAAATTTACATTTCAGTGATGGAACGAAATGATTAGAAATAAAAATGTACAACTTCTCACTTGAAAAATTCTAATTCTCATCTATTTAATAAATTATCTTTCGTATCTTGGTGAAAACTTTGACATTAGAATATTTTTTATCTTGATTCTGAACATATGATACTAAGACAACAGTTTTTTAATATTTCACCAGCTTTTCGTGTTCAATCTATTCTCATTTCAAACTCACTGTTTTCAATTTTTTATAAATTCATCAAAACCTGTTCTAGTAGTTTCCATTTAACTCATCCAATTAATAATGTAGCTATTGATAAAATTTTCGTCAACAAAATTGACAACTAAAATAGCTACTCATTGGAGTTCTGAAATGTATACATATATAGAGTGAAGCAATTATTTCGTGTCCATTAGCTGTCACCGTTGATGTTAACAGTCCAATAAAAGCTAATCAACGTATGTCAGGCTGATATGGTCTACGTTGTTTCACTGTTGAATCTTCTTCTAATATACATTCACCAACTCACTACTCTCTTACCCTTTCATTCCATGGAATTACTTTAACTGTCTTTACAGGGTACGAGAAACTTTCAAGGTGATGGATGGCTTCTGCACGACCACGTCTCTACGTGCTTTATTCCGTTTCCCCAATTAAACAATTGCATTCACATCGATCCATCCCAATTGGCCAAAAGATCGCGAAGACTGATATATACCCATCTGAATACTTTTCCCTTCGCAATTTTTTCCTTTTACCCTTTTGTTACTGTCTATCTACCCTTCTTTGTCTTCTCAACATCACCCTTTTTATTTTCATTCTTTTATCCATCCTCCATTCGATATTTTTTCTTCTCATTTCGTCGATGAGCAAACGAGAAAGTAGCTTTACATCAATTTATGGCTGACTCATTCGATGTTGCCGCAAAAATTGTACCACAATATTATGCAAAATGTTGTCGTTTCATCGTTACGACGTGACCACGACCAAGAATTAGTAAAACGACGCAGCTTTTCGATCATCGATATCTGATAGATTGGAGAAATTGCTTTGATTAATCAATTACACATACCACTATTTCAATAACACCTTTCAATAGCAAGTATTAGATTTATTCTTTCCGGTCACGTGGCCTTTGTATCATTATGTAAAAAATCTTTCTAAAAGCGGATATCAACGACGTAATTTGTATATGACACAAGTTTTTCAACATAAATAATTTCGGTAATAAAATTTGTGATCAATTTTTCATCATTATGATATTATTTCAATTTCATACAATACTAATAAAATTGCTATTTGTTTCTATAATCAATAATTGATTATATTTGATTGATTAAACTTTATTAAGCATATCTGTAATCTTCATGATTGTTTACAAAGCAAAACTATCATCCTTCTCTACACTTTAATTTCATCTTTTATTTATAACTAAGCATTTTTTTATTTCATTTAGTCATTATATAATTTAATATAAATATTGACGCTTACAATGGTGATAAATATTTAAAAAATCTAAAAAAAAAATGATACAATTATTGACTGATATCTGGGTCATCATTCTCGAATAATAATACATACCATTACAATTTTTTATGGTTCTATGTTTTATAACGAAAGGTAAATTTAAAAATAATTGAGATGTTAATTCAGTACCACAGATAAAAGTATTCTAGTCAGAAGCAAGACTGATCTATTTCTCGTCTAATATTGAGCTTAGGTTCACAGAGATAATTTTTTTACTAAATGTAAGGGGAAAAAATAATAAGTAGACGTTTTGAAGTTTAGAAGTCATTTAGTATTCCTATTGAGCAGTCTTTGTAAAATGATTACTTGCGATAACTAAAAATTCACTGTTGAACAGAAATATGTGTACTTCTATTATTCAAAAAGTGCACTGACATTGTGTTTATTTAAGGTCAGTGCAAATATTCTTACTGTGAACTTTAGCCCAATGTTTGACAGGAGATAATCCAGTCTTAATCTCTACTCGAGTAAGTGACTATACAAAATTCAATGGCATGAAGATCACTTTTATTTGTATAAGATAAATTTTTGTTGAGTTTATTGTTATCAATAGAAACGTACTTTATTGATATTTTATATTAGGTAACTTAATTTTTCCACTAAATCTAAGTACAAAAAGTGACAAGCCCACGTTTCGAAATTTATAAGTGAAAATATTTCTGTTCAACAGTAAATTTTAGGTTGTCGTAAGTAATTCTTTTACTAAGACACCTTTTAAGTCACAAATTTACTTACAAGAACTCAAAATTTACTATCAAACAGAAATATTTTCACTTTTGCACTTAGATTTAGTGAAAAAATTCTCTCTGTAGATTTTTAAGATTTCTCTCCTCGCATATTCACTTCAATGCAATGATATGCAGTTAATGTCGTAATTGAATACACAATGAATATTGTAATTAATGCATAGTTAATGTTTTAATAAATGTACGTAAAAATTATTAACATGAAATCATTTGGTATTTTTAAATATTGGCCGTCTGTACATAAAAAAATGTCTCAGCTCCTTTGAATTTCCCATAGTATTAATAATTATTTTTAGAAATAGTTTTTAACAAAAGAACTTGTTTAGAGCCTA